GATCGCGTTAAAGTGACCGAGAAAAATTGACCACGAAGACTCGTGGGAATGTTTGCTTTGAAGGTCGCAGATAGAGCTTGCGCGCGGTTGACATTTTTGTGCGACGTTTCGTCGAGTTGGCTCGACGAGTTGATAAAAACGTACAAAAAATTAAGAAATGTAACGAACCACATGAAACGACATCTCGCATTGTTTCGGATTAATGGAAAAAGTAAGCGCGCTACAGCGCAGCGTATTTTTATCGGCATCAAAGTTGAAGTCAATTTCCGCGCGATGGGCTTTCATCTCTCTCTATGCCGCCGTGTATAGCTAAAGAGAAACTTTGATTCGACTCTGCGTAAAATGTATACGCAATTTAAACATAAAAGTTGAGTCGCGCGATGTTGATTCAGCAGTAGTTTTCGTGTAAGCGGGGGAAAAGAGTGAGAGAGAGAGAGAGTAAAGCAACGTGCTCATGCACTCGAGTAGTAATCACTCGGTCGCTAGCCGCGGACGTAAAAAGTCATCAATTTTTTTCTTCCACATTTTTATTTAGGGAGAAGGAAAAAAAAGTTTTTTAACTACCAGGCTGCAGTGAGCGAGAGAGAGAGAGAGAAATTAGTCAGAGATAAAAATGTTTGAAAACTTTGCGAGCTGCGACTCTTGGGCGACAGCGTCACGTACATAACGCACACACACACACACACACACACACACACCTAACGACACGTCGGCGGCACGAACGACGAGTAGTGCGTACAGCCTCGACGACGTCCCTTCTCTCTCCTTCTTTCTTTCCTTTTTTTCTTTTCAGTTTTTCGCCGTCCCCGTACATTTCTCACTCAGCGCACAGAGAGAGAGAGAAGAGAAGGAGAAAAGAGCCGAGCTTGAAAAGTCACGGACTGCAAGCACGGAGTAGGAGCAGCAGCAGCAGCAGCAGCAGGTTTCGCATGTATATCAGAGAGGGTACCACCGCTTAAGAGCTCGTGCGAGAGCGTAAAAGCGTTACGACTGACCGCACACGCGAAAAAGCTGTCTCGCGCATACCTAATGCGCGATTAGCCCTTGTGTATAATTACGCACTCGTTACCGGGCGCGTCTAGTACGGTCAAGAACCAAAAAAAGCAAAAAAAAAAGAGAAAAAACAGAAAAAAATCTCGACTGCGGATGACGAAGGAGCTTGATAAATTGAGAAGTCGAGAGCTGCTGCTGCTCTCGTCACACGCCACTGCCTAGATTTACGCGGCAAAAATATTTACGATCTTAATGTGCATACATACAGCACGAGCATTAGTCGAATACACTACGTACGTACGTACGTACGTCACGACCTGGAAATCAACTCGACCATTGAGAGAGGACGATGGGTCGCAAAATTTTCAGCCGAGGATCGGAGACTCGTGTATGTATTTTGGCCCGCGTACCCTGGGAAATTATTCGCGCTGAGCGCGAGCGAGAATTACAACTGTATGTACTACGAGTATAACGCGCTCGGTTGGTTTTATTTACATATACACACATTCGCGCCGAAAAGTGTCGAGGGAATCAAAGGGTCAACTCGACTGCTATATACTGTACGCGAGAAGCGCGCACGAGTTTACACGAAATTCGATCCGTCGTGCAAAATAGTCAAGCCTTTATACGTACGAAAAGTTCGCCAAAGGTCTTCTGGACGATTAACGCGCACGAACTCGGGGTAAACAATATCGGGTGGAATGAAAAGGAGAAGGCAAACATAGCGCCACTTTAAGAAACCTATCACAGCTCGAATACGTACTATACTACTTATTGCGTATACATAAACAATGACAGTGGTCGTGTCCGGTGTGTATGGCCCGTCGTCGTCGTCGGCGTGCGAAATTATCACGAAAGAGACACGGAGCGAGAGAGCAAGAGTATAAGACACGAGGCACTACTCGCATGCGGCACTCGTGAAGTAGCGGATAGGCAATATAAATAAAGCAGCAGGATGTAGCGGAAGCTGAGAGTGCATTTTAGCCGCCGCCGCCGCTGCAGCTGTGTGTACAGGTTGTGCACACTTACGAATCGCGAACGTGTGTGTGCGTGTGTATGTACTATGTACGAGACGCTCGAGGGGGGTAGGTAGAGTTTCACAACTCTCGTCGAGGGCCAGGTGAGTTGCTTCTGCTGCTGCTGTGTGCTCACGTAACGAGGCCCCCGCGTGCGTGCGTCAATCCCTGTTTCTGTAGGCAGCAGCAGCAGCAACAGTAGCAGAGCTACGTATAGTAGAAGGGCTGTGTGTGCGAATGAATACATACGTATATATAGGGTGCGCGAGAGAGACGAGGCGGCACTGCTGCTGGTGTATATATAGTGGCAGTCGCGAGGCAAGGATCGATAACCGACGTCGGCTTTTCGGGCAGCTGCAGCCAGCCGCCGTCGCTGTTGCCGCACTACGTTTGGCGATATATATCTATATAGGTGCACATATAAGCAGAAGCAGACTACTCCGGAGTACCTATAATGTATACCTAATGCTAGAGCGAGAGAGAGAGAGAAGAAGAGGCGCGCGCTCACGGTCTCGCGATGCTCCATTAGTATATATACCTTTATATAGCACCGAAGGTATACAGATATAGCGCGAGCAACAGGATCGAACTGTGTGTAACGGAGAGAATCACGTGCACTCGCGTCGATAAGGATGATCCATCTCGTATATAGATGTATACATTTGAATAAGAAGACAATTATATATAGCTCGGCGCAGAGCTCTGTCTTTCTACAAGTTTGTGTGCAACGCGTGCGAGTGTATGAATTTTGGTCGTTGTTGCTCTCCGCGTGCACTTACCTTTACGAGATTCGCTCGATGATCTCTGCCTACTCACTGCTCGTGTGAAGGTGATGAGAGAAACTGCAGTTAGAGAATCTTCGCTTTGCCAAAAAAAAAAATCACTCGAAGATCGCGGGGACCGCACTTGAAAATTTTTATCTCGCTGATCGCGAACGATTATACCCAAGCACGTACTTTTAATACCTTGACGAATGTTGCATAGGTATAATGCGATTGATTCACTCGCGTTATATTATTATGACTATTGCGATCGCGTCGTAAAAGACAAACGAAACGTCTAATTCGTTGAGAATCGAACGGCGATGGTGTGCGTCGGTTGGGCGATCGAACGCGCGTCGAATTCAAATGGATTTATATTTGCACACGCACTGTTGAGTAATAATTACGGAGCAGCGATTATAAGCACGTTGTGTCAAACTTCAGCTCGACGTTTCTTGTCGTGCCTGATATATATCTGGTAAAATACTTATGTATACGACATCCTGTCACGCACGTGCGTCGTCGATAATGATAACAATATAGAATCTCAGCTCTTTATTACCAAGCGTTCTATACTTTGGTTTTGAACGTATCGTGTGTGTAACTGACGAAGTACGAAGACTTTGTTGAACGAGCGAAATTGAGATTTGTTTCTTTTTTTTTTTTTTGCCTGCGATCAACTACTGTGTATATATATCCGTGCGGCGATATACTGCAACGAGACGTGTGTTGTTGCGCGCTACGTAGCGCACGAGACACTGCTGGGTTGCTGCCGCTGCCGCTGCCGCTGCTGCTGCTGCAGAGAACTTATACCTACCCTCTCGTGTACATACGCTGCTGTGCAGCAGTAGAGTTGGCAGAGAGTCGCGCGCGGCGACGACGACGACGACGACGATGCCAGCGCCTAATACATACACACACACACTCGCACACGTACATACGCACACGCGATCGAATGTAAGAGCCGGCACTATATAAGTATATATATATTCGCGAACTTGCACTGTACGACGCAGCAGCAGCAGCAGCAGCAGCAGCAGCAGCAGCTCCTCTCGCCAATTTCTCTCTCCGCGTCCGTCCGCGTATAGTATTACCTTTATTATAACTGTATATATATCGTAGCTCGAGTCGCGCCAACGCGAAATTCCGAATTCTATATATTATAATGCCTATACGCATACACGTACGCTGTAAGAGCTTATTTGTACATAATGTGTGTGTGTGCATACTAGTCGGCCGATCCGAGCTTGTATATAGCCGCCTGACTTATTCATTTATACATACATATCAATTCGAGCTGCAGCAGCAGCGGCGGCACATAATTTGCCTCTGATCGTATAACGATCCGCACATGTATTATTATACGTGCGGCCGTTGTTGCAGCGATTAATTAAGCCTTTCGCTCGCGGGGGCTTTTCTATATGTACATCGGATCTAATTAGGAGAGCTCGCCGATGCGGTCAGACATTTTTAATCGTGCTCTCGAATGATTCGAATAGTCAATGATGTTCGAGGACATCGTCTCGTATTCGGGATTTATGGGGATAATCGTCGATTTCATAGTTTAATTATACGTATAAGCTCCTCGATCTCTCTGCGAATGATAACGAAGGAGCGAGCCCAAAATTCGTGCGTGCTCCATGATGTATCTCTCTCTCTCTCGTGCGCGCCGCGAGGAGTCCACATTATTCGAGAGAGTCGACTCTCTCTCGCAAGCTCTCGACAGCACATGCGAGCAGCATCGATCCTCCTTGGCCGAAGGGCGCAAGCGCGTGCCAGCCTACACACACACACACACACACACACACACACCTACACGTATACGAAATATACAGATCGACTCGCCGAATTTTGCGCCGCCGTTGCCAACGTCGGTGCTGCGAGTTCCACAACGTAATACTTGGGACGAGCAGAGCTTGCGCGAAAGCTACGTGTATGCCGAGTCCTGCTGTGTGTGTGTGTGTGTGTGCTTGCGCTCCGCAGCGGTGCGCAGCTCAAGCCGAAAATCACTCGCGCGCCTCGATGCCAATACCATAATACTCTCTTGCCAAGAGCGGAGGGGGGGGGGGGGGGGGGGNGGGGGGGGGGGGGGGGGGGGGGGGGGGGTGGAAGCTCCTTTTTCGTGCGCGAGCTTTCCTCGTGTGCTGGCACAGCGGCGATTCGGCTGCGCGCGCCCGCTTAATATCCTATATACGATACACATACCTGCTGCGGCAACGCACGCGTTAATAGATCTCTCTGTAAGCTCTGCAAGCTCGTATCGAACATCGAGAGAAAGAGACAGACGGAAGAGAAGAAAGATCGACGGCCAGCAGGAGTCGCTGCTGCCGAGAGAGAGACAAAGAGTTAAAAATAGCGACGCTGCCTGGTTGGGCTATGACGATTAACGAGGAGGAGCCATCGCCCTCCATGTCGACTGGTGGTAGGCCTACCGCTGTTGCGTCTACCACCACCACCGCGACCACTACTAACTCGGCCGCGAACGACGACAACTGCGATGGTCCTCTACTAGCCACTGGTTCGTCGTCGTCGTCTTGCCACCCTAAGAAGGACAAGAGGATCGCCTATCCAGCCAGGTGAGCTTTTTCTTTGATTCTCTCTCTCTCTCACTTGATCGCGACTCGATCGAGCTTTCATCCACCCCCCTTCCCCTGTGCGTAATTCAGGAATATCCTGCAAAGCTCGGCGATGCTGCTGCATCAGGACAATTGGCGCAAAGCCGCCACCCGAGTCAAGGACCACGACTGCGACGACGACGAGGACGATTACGACGCCGCCGACGACGACGACAAAGCCGAGAAGAGGAGCCAACGGCACATCTGGCGGCTGTGCCTCGTCCTCGGCGCCGTGGCTCTGTGCAATCTCGCGCTCAACGCCGCCGTCCTCATGGTGCTGCGCGTCAGCCAAGGCATGGAGGCCATCGAGCTGATACGCGAGCGGGATCTGATCAAGTTTCACGGCAACACCGACTTGGACAGGGTGAGCAAAAGTTTTTGCCACTAATAGATTACGTACTTAATCCTCCGGTTGGCAGGATTTATTTACTCGCTGCTTTCTCGTAAGTAGGTGTGCCTGCAGCGAGGCGTCTGCGAGGGCTTTGGAGACGAGCCAATTCAGCTGATCGGCGACGCGGCCGGAGTCAACGTGCGAGTCGCCAATAAATACAGCGCCTCGGCTGCCAGCAGCCGTAGCAGCAGCAGTCTCAACGTGCTCAAGAACGGCACCGCCGGCTTCGCCAACGTGCGCTCCCTCGAGATCAGGGAGCCCCGAAGCGGCCGCTCGGTCTTCTCCAGCGAGTCGCCGAGCTTCGAGCTGAGCCGCGAGGCGGGCCGCGAGCTCGAGCAGCTGCAGGCCGAGCTCGCGCAGACGCACCGCGTGGCGGCCCCCAAGCGCAGGGACTTGCGCGTGCTCGCCGACAGGTCGCTGCATCTGCACGGCGCCGAGGGCGCGAGTCTCGACGCCAAGGAGATGGCTTGGCTGGCGCGCGGCGATATCACGCTGAGGAGCCGCGAGGGCGACTTGGTGCTGGAAGCCGGCAACGGCATCGAGATTCCGAATCTGCCCGTGGCGCCGATCCATCGTCATCCGCCGAGCAGCAGCAGCAGCAGCAGCAGCGAGGCTCGCGATCGGTACAAGGTGTGCGTCTGCATGCCGGACGGCAAGCTGTTCTTGGTGCCGGCGCGCAACAAGGGAGGCGCGAGGCTCGATTGCGCCGCGTTCGTTCGAGCCCAGAAGAGCGATCCGTGTGCCATGTAAAAAATAATATATACATACATAAAATGATTATTTCGTATATACGATGCATCGTTGAACTCGCGTTGACCTGCCTGATATGTAAACTGTGCGTTGTTCGCCATTGTTCGTTACTATATCATTTCACGTTTGTAAGAAATTTAATAAAACGTTTTTTTTTAAACGAGACCCATTTTGAGTTTTGTAATATATAAATCGTTGCATACATACTTTATTGAGAAATGCGATGAGATTTGTGAAAAATGATAAGATACACAGTCTTTCGATGAATCTAATAATTCAAGTTATATACGTTAGAATCGGATAGTTCTGAAGAAAAGATCAATTCATCGTTACAATTTTTTATCGTTACTTATTATTAAAATCCCTATGCGATGACTATAAAAATTTTTTATGCAGTCTCCGCGATCATTTCTTCGTTGTTTTCCTCCATGTCCTCCTGCTGCTCTTGCTCGGTGGGAGGTTCGTAGGCTTTTTCTAATGGACTGGCAACGACGCCGCCAGGCCACACGCTCATTTCGATGGCTAATTTGTTGCCGCCCTCGAGGAGGGGCCGGTATCCGCCGTGACCGAGAACCCTCAACAATGTTTGCGCTGTTAGACACACCTGATCTTGTTGCTCCAGGGTCATGGCTGTGTGAACGCGGATACTGCCTCCTTCGCAAGGGTCCGAAATACCTGAGAAAGGGTCTAATGTTGATATTGGCAACATGACTTATTTTAATTTATTTTTATAGCATTCCATTTCATATATATTTTTTTCAAGTATTCTCAAATATTAAAACTTACCCGCTGATCCAGGCAGGAATAGTCCTGCAGATAACAGCTGAAGAACTCTTCTGTAAGCTTGATTGATTGGTAACGCTTGTCTACTAGGATTGTTCATGATGGCATTGTGAGCCAAGACATTGAGCATCCATGGAGATAAGGGCTCGAATCCTTCAAACCTTGATCTGAGATCTCTCAACAAACGAATGAGTACTTTGATACTAGAATGATGGGCATTTTCTTCAAACCATCTTGAATGTCTAATAGCAGCCAAATGCCCTAAAATAATTATTTTTTCAATTAAAATTCAATAAAAATTTTGTGACATGATTGAACAAAATTTTTTTTTAAACATTTCAACTAACCTTGACATATTTTAATATCTAAATGTTGGTCAGGTTCAAGTTTTCTAAGATTTTGATGGAGTGTAGTAATAAGAACTCTGACTGTAGCTTCATTATTAGCAACATCAAAACCACGCTCTGTTTGAGTAAGTTTTACAGTATCTTTGGGTGATTGTGCTTTTAAGTCAGCTTGAACTTTATTTCCTAAAGCTTCAACTGCAGTTTTTGTTGGTAGAGTTTTTAAAATAACTACAATGTCAGCAACATTATGAGTCTTAATCATTGTTCCCATTTTAAAACTACCTACTTGACGTACTTCTTCAAGTTGCTGTAAATTGTTGTTTATATTAGTAAAAATTAATGGAAAAATATTGAATATATAAAAATAGAGTATAGTTACTTACACATGCTTCAAAAGTGCCTGGAGCAACAATGAGATTGTCAAGAACGCTCTGTAACTTTGTGACAAGATTGAGAATGGATGTTTGTTCCTTAGGAGTTGGACACATGTCGGAATTTTTTTTCAATAGGGCAGCTGTAAAATCTGTCTCATCTGGTGCAGGTCTAACTCTGGGGAATGCAGCTTCACACAAATGAAGATCAAATGGATGACGAGGCATGTACTGTCTTTTGAGTGGAAAACTCATTCCACGACCCATACCTCTGCCTCTTAAAATTCCTCCTCTTCCACGCACCATTTTTACTGCAATATGAAACAATCAAAAAAGTTAATTGATTAATGAATTTCTACTTTTTTTTATTAAGTATAGAATCACTAAAAAGGCCCAAAAAATTTAACATTGATCAGCAATAGTCACACTATTGACTTACCCATGTTTAAATGTTGGTATCAAATTTGTTAGTAAAAGACTGACCAAGTGAAAAGTCCTGAACAACGAAACACTAAACTTCTTGTTTTGAGAAAATGCACACAACACCCCAATGCGAGAAAGACGCTAGAAAATCAATATTAGTAAGCGTGAGTAGATTAATCAATATATGAAGGGTATAGAAATTAAATCAGTTTTTAAACGCCACGCACAATGCAGAGGGCGATTTGATGTTATGCGATTTGAGGAAGATACTTACGACGCCGCTGAGATTTCTCAAAGTAACAAAATACTGTTTTCACTCGCAAAACTAACCACCAACGTTATCGGCCCGGTACTGGTCGAAGGATGCCTGGAGGCTGGAATAGACTGGAACGCAATAAAATACCCTTATGATAAGACTTGGGAGGTTGGGTCTGGTCGTCGGCGCCGGTCGGTCGTCGCGTCTACAGAATTCAGCGCACCATAGATGGCGACACGAGGCTCGACGCGCTGTGTCAGAAGTTGTGTGTTTACAATTTTAGATTAGAAATTGGAGATACATGATACATCTGCCTAAACGCGAAAGTGAAAGGCTCGTGTCTGCTATGGTTTGAGGATATTTTTCGAACTGTCAGTGGACTCTTTTTTTTTTGGCAATTTTTTGTACATAGAAATCAATCATGACTGCTGCTAAAACTGTGCCAAAAACAGAATATAAAGTCAAGTTTGGCCGTTTATATGGATGGGTGAGCAAATATTACAATTGTTGTTAATTTTTCAAATCAAAAGTTCAAAATTCTTGATGGTTTGCATAATTATATTAAACGTTTCTAAGAAATACAATCATGCCGTTAAAATGTTGATACATTTTTCAAAGAGTTTGATATGATTTGTTTTCATTGATAATAAAAAAAATCATACTATTATACTATTTTACCATTTTTAGGGTGCAAACTCTCATGACAATCTTGCACTTGGCCGGGGAGCACACAAAGAAGAAGTGTTGACACCCAGAGAAATTAACTTGACTCATATTAATTTAGATCCAATTGATATTGAGAAAATAGTTGGAGGAGGCGGTCATACTTTAATGATAGACAAAGCCGGCAAAGTTTATAGCTGTGGGTGGAATGTCAGAGGTCAGGCTGGAACCACAGAACAAACCTACGTAATTGTTAAAGTGTCTGGTTTAGATGACTTGAAAATTGTTGACGTTGCATGTGGTTGGGATTGTTCAATGGCCCTGACAGACGATGGTCTTGTTTATGCTTGGGGTTCTAATCTATATGGCCAATTGGGTGGTCTATTACCTATTGGTGTTAAAACTAATAAACCAAAGCATCTTCAATTGGACAGACCAGTGAAAAAGATATCTTTGGGATTGAGGCATTCTGCCATTGTTACTTGTGACAATAAAGTTTTAACAAGTGGAGCTGGAAATAAAGGACAACTGGGCAGAGACTTGCAAGATGCAACTAATTCTAATGAATTTGTAGAAGGTATATTATTTATCATTCATTTTGAGAATTTTATTAGAAATTCTAATTAATTTTAATTTTTATACAGTTCCAGGCTTAGATAATGTTAGCAGTGTTTCTTGTGGACAATATCATACAGTAATATGTACAAATGATAATAAAGTTTTTGCTTGGGGAGACAATAGGTATGGCCAGCTAGGTGTAGATATTTCTAAGTTTAAACAAACTACAAAACCAATGGAGGTAGAAGGTCTGAAAAATTTTGGCATTTGTAAAGAAGTTTATTGCGCTTGGACCCATTCAGCTATAATGAATTGTGAGTAAATTTTTTGTTTTGTCAAAGTTTACTTAAAAGGTACTGGATTTAATTTCTCTCTTTCTATATTTAGCTGAAAATAAAGTATATTTGTGGGGTAGAAATGCCTATGGTCAATTAGGATTAACCAATATGACTCCTATTTGTACTGATACATGGACTGCGAAACAAGTTGAGATTCCTCACAAAATTAAAGAATTTTGTATTGGTTCACAACACAATCTTATGCTATGTGGTAAAAAAAAATTTTAATTTAATAATTCAATTACAATTACATGAGTCTCTAAACACAGTCAAATTTTTCAGATAATAACCAAGTATTCTCATGGGGTTGGAATGAACATGGGAGCTGTGGAGTAGGTCATATTGATGATATATATGAACCAACAGCTGTACCAATACCTCATTCTCATGAAGAAATACTTCACATTGGAACAGGGGCAGCACATTGCTTTGCTATTGTTAAAAAAGATGAATCAGATTAATTGATTTATAAATATGTATTATAGACTCATTTTACAGATTTATAGATATGTTTTATATATTAACAATTGAATTATATTTTTATAAACAACTGGTTTATTTTAAAAAGAAGATGACTATTTATTTTCACAAATCTTAGTCAGTAGGCAATTACTATGTACACTAAATTTTACAACTGTTACGCAACTATTCTGGTTCACTTCTACAAATAATGGAAATCCGTCTTTTTTTATCTACAACTTTTCCATTGAAAATAGAGTCTTCTTTGCTTAATACTTCATGATTGTATTTGTGTCTAGCAACACCTTTCATTATGTATAGTGATCTCCTTGGCACAAAAATGTCATCCCAATATTGTTTTTCATGTCCAACATAAGTGAGCCTCATTATTGCATCGCTTAATAAGCTAATAGTTGCAATGATTTCTCCACAAAACCGATGACTATCAACATGAGGTTTAATCCAGCCATCTTCAGCAAGATCCAAAACATGAACTAAACCAAGTTGTTGCATCTCAGGTGGAAAGGCTTTTTCCCTAATTCTATTAATGACTTTTGTATTTTCAGGATTCCATCGAGGAAATTCAGTTTCTCTGTAACCATGAATGGCATTATCCCAGTGATCATATTCATATCTCAAACGTTGCATGTAAGGGTCAACTTCATCGAGAAGACTTTTCTCTTCGTCCTCTGTGATGAAATTTTCATAGACCAACATGTTTGAGTGCAATTTTTCTTTCCAATTTTTAAAGTTGTCATTGTTGTTCTCATCTTTTACTAATTTATTATCTGCATTCGAACAACTTTGTCTTATGATATTTATTGGTCTTCTGAACAACTTCCACTTGGACTGAATTGTTTTTATCAGCATTTTGAAGAGCTGTCAAGTGTTGTTTACAAGTCAAAAACTGGAAACATTACACAAAAAAATTTAAAAAAAATAAATAAATATGAAGAAATGTTACAACACTATTGATAATTCACCTCAATCGATTTTTAGACAAAACTAGACACCCACTATGTTCATTTAAAACAACTCGAATAAGTTATGTCGTTATGTTGTATTCAAAAACGTAACCTATCCAGATGACATCTCGCCACTATAGCAGACAAAAAGCTAAGCGCGTGGCGCGGAAAAATTGAAATATTTAAAAATTCATAAGTCGGGATATTAATTCATTAATCGTTATTTTAAGAAAAAAACACGTTTATTTGTCAACCCTTGAACATTCATTTGATCCATCGTGCCATTAAAGATGGCATAATTTTCACTGACGTCAATTTTAAAATCAGTATCGTTAGTTCCAGCCATTCTGAAAAAAAGAAACAAGTTGTATCGACCGGAGAAAAATGTTAGACACTGCATCAAAAGTGCATAAAAAATGCATACAATTGCATTTCGATCACTACCAAAAGCTATACCACACAATTTCAACCCTATTATAATGCACCCTGAAAATTTCATGTAAATTAAAAACCGCTGCCAATTTATTGGCAAAGAGCTTCCTCATAAAAAGTAATATTAATAAAAGGCATCGGTTGTTAACGTGAAAATTCGTATTTTTAAATTTTGATTCACTGTCTCGAATCCTAACTACCAGACAATCACGACCATTATACACTTCTATGTTAGCCAAAAGGCCGAGAAAACAAAAACTCATACAGACATTTGTTGGTAATTCAATGTAGTTTCCAAATATGTATAAACCAAATTGTCCTACGACGTCTGGTTCCAAATCTCGAGCTGTCGCAGGACTTCTTCTATGAGGAAGCAAAAAACAACCATTGAGTTAGAGTGGTATAACAACGAATTACTGTCATCCATTTTGAGATTATAGAAGCTACAATTTTTCTCGGTCGATTTCTCCAAGCGCGAGCGTAGCACCTGCTTATAATTTCACTTTCTAACTTCGCACCTAACGCATATCTCGAACGAAAAAAAAGTCTAGAAGTTCAGTATAGGTTTGGCTATAGCAACGAGCTAAGATCAGCGAGTATATCAAATTGTATTATATATAGTATATCAGCAACGATGCGGATAATCGAGATGCTTTGCGTGATGTTCGCGGCTGCAAACGAGCGGATCTTCGACGAAACAGCTCCACGTACAATTGAATTAATGAGTGCATCGTTCCATTATTACAAATCTGTTAACAATTTTGCTCTCAGTGAGGGTGGCGTCGAAAATTCCACCATATATTACGCCTATTGCGACAGAGTCGGCGAGCAGACGAAGAAGGAATGTATTGTAATGCGAAGAGCCGCGGATACTTACGTGAAACTGGACGACTGGTGCAACATCACGCTGCGCTCCGAATCCGGCGGCATGATCCAAACGCGTCTCATTGCGATCGATCGGCTCGGCGAGGATCGAGCAATCGTACGTTGGTTCGAGAGGATCTCGAGTCCTCCGGTCAAGTATCACCTGCGATTCAGTGTCGTCAATTTTTCCAATTGTCAAGTCAAAACGACCAAACTTTCGGAAGATCTCGATCAGCTGATTGTAAATGTAAACGATGATGCTGTTATTAAGGAATTTAACAAACTGAGATATCTCAAAGGAGAAGATGATTTTGAAGTTGTGTCAGCTGTTGGGGGAAAAGTTTATAGATCATCGATCGACGCCGAAGGATTTCCTTCGCCGGTCGATACATTGTTCACTTACCCCACGGAATCTTTGGTCGAGTCACTTATTTTTCCGTTGTCAAAAGACAAGGGCTATTTGTTTATCGAAACAACATCAATTCCGTATGGGCCCGACACAATTAAAATTATAATATCTCTTATTCAGTCCAATGGTAATTAATTACAAAATAAATTCGTTTTAATTCTCATGATTCGAATTAACATTAATAAGACACTTTCTACAGGGCAAAGACGACATTTAACTCATATCATAGGTGCGCACCCACCTTTAGTATCGATAGCCAACGGATTGATCGGCGTTTGCGCTCCACAAATCGGAAGCACAATTAAATGCACACAGTTCAAGCTCGGCGAGCACAAAAACATCAAGTGGTTCTCGTCCCTCAGCTGCGAAGATTTCGGGCCTACGCGAGCCATTCACAACTTGCCGGAGGGCCAAGGATTTCTGGCCGTCAAAGACGTGGCTGGAGGAAGTCCCTTCAAAGACGGCAAGTACCTGGTTAAAATCGGCCTGGATGGAAGACCTACGCGATTGACGCATTCCGAAAGGGAGTGCACAAACAATCACGAGGTCATTTCCACCAAACTTTTCATTGACGATAAGGGCCGATATCGGCTTAGCGTCGCCTGCATGAAAACCTCTGACGATGATAGTATCACCGATTCGACTTATTTCACATTTGAATCAAGCACCTTTGGACCGGAAAATTCTAATCGAGTTATTCAAGGATAATTTTTGATTCACGTCGCATTCGTTTTAAACTACTTTCTACTTTATACAACAGCTACTTTGACTCTCGAAATAAATACAATACAAATGCGTCTATCGGCAAGACAGACAACGATACAATAATTAATCTGACAACAAGACTGCCGTCCTTGTATGAGTCCTGGTTAAAAACCAGGTATTCGCCCAACCTGTCCCAGCCCATGAGTACCAGGAGCGTTAATGATATTTTCGTGAACGCAAGTATTCGAATAAAAAAACACTTAAATGTTGGGAGAGATCGAAATTGTATAAATTATCTGGAAATTTTGTATTTTTCTTTAAAATGAGGTGATTGTTTGGAAATTATTATGAAATTATATTCATTTTGTTAAGCTTCAATGCGAGACAACAATTCGGGGATTAATAGAATATAGAAGTTAAGATAACATTGAATTTTATTCAAATATATGCATACAGATAGAAATAACTACACTTTAAGAATAAAACTCTAGACCAATGGGTTGGCTGCGGTTCCTTAAGCAAACTAAGATTTTCTTTTTTCAAACTATAACTATCATTAGGGTGGCCAAGATTGAACATATGTGGGTGCCAATTGCAAATTTTCCGCTCTTTGTATTTTAAAATTTTTATAAGTAATAAGACTGTAAACATTTAAAAAAAAATCTTTTTATGATAAAATAAAAACCACTGCCCATTTATTGGCAAAGAGGTTTGGTAATTGAAAGGAAAATTTCTATACAAACATATTTTCATTTTCGTATACGAAACTCCAAAAAAAACCGAGGGATCTCTAGAATTTTGTGTAAGATTCCCTTAAATAGAAACTACTGAACCTTACTTACTCTGTCTGTATTATCTTATCCAAAAGGACGAGAAGACAAATACTCATACAGACATTTGTTGGTAATTCAATGTTTTTTCCAAATGTGGAACCAAAATTTTCCTACGACGTCTGGTTCCAGATCTCATTTTCAAGCCTATAACATAACTTCCTCTATGAGAAAGCAAAAACGACCATTGAGTTACAGTGTTTAACAAAGAAACATTTGAATTTCTGCAGAGGAGACTTGACGCTTCGCTGAAGTTCTTGCTTTTCTTAAAATTCCGTCTAAAATTACTGCCCTCGATTTTGAGATTATAGAAACCAAAATTTTTCTTTTGCCTTTTACGCATTTTTCTCGGTCGATTTCTCCGAGTGCGAGCTTAGCACCTGCTCATAATTTCACTTTCTCACTTCGAATCTAACGCACATATGCATAACCCGGACGAGAAAAAAGTCTAGAAGTTCAGTGTCGGTTTGACTGTAGCAACGAGCTGAGCAACGATGGGGACATTCGGGATACTTTGGGCAACTTTTGCGGTACTGAACGGCATATTCTTCGACGACACAGCTCCATTTTTAACTGAAGTAAAAAGTGCATCGTTCAATGACAGATTTGTTAAAAATTTGGCTCTCAGTGAGGGTGGCGTCGAAAATTCCACCATATATTACGCCTTTTGCGACAGAAACGGCGAGCAGACTAAGGAATGTACTCTACGTCGAACGGAGATTTACTCGAGAGCAGGAAACGAGTGCAACATCACGCTGCGCTCCGAATCCGGCGGCATCATCCAAACGCGTCTCATTGCGGTCGATCGGCTGGGCGAGGATCGAGCAATCGTACGTTGGTTCGAGAAGATCCCGAGTCCTCCGGTCAAGTATCACATGCGATTCAGTGTCGTCAATTTTTCCAATTGTCAAGTCAAAACGACCAAACTTTCGGAAGATCTCGATCAGCTGATTGTAAATGTAAACGATGATGCTGTTATTAAGGAATTTAACAAACTGAGATATCTCAAAGGAGAAGATGATTTTGAAGTTGTGTCAGCTGTCAGTGGAAAAGTTTATAGATCATCGATCGACGCTGAAGGATTTGCTTCGCCGGTCGATACATTGCTCACTTACCCCACGGAATCTTTGATCGAGTCACTTATTGTTCCGTTGTCAAAAGACGAGGGCTATTTGTTTATCGAAACATCATTTCATAGCAGTCGCAAAAAAATCTTAACGACGATAACTCTTATTCAGTCCAACGGTAATTAATAAAGCAAACAAATTTTTTTCAATTCTTATAATTCGAATTAATCTTAATAAGATATTTTTCACCGTTCCAGGTCAACGAAAAAATTTGACTCACATCGAAAGTGCGTACCCACCTTTGGTCTCGATAGCCAACGGATTGATCGGCCTATGCTCTCAACCGAACGAAATCACAATGAAATGCACACAGTTCAAGCTTGGCGAGCACAAAGACATCGAGTGGTTCTCGGCCGTCACCGGCGAGGATTTCGGGCCTACGCGAGTCATTCACAATTTGCCCGAGGGCCAAGGATTTCTGGCCTTCAAAGACGTGACTGGAGCAAGTCCCTTCATAGACGGCAAGCACCTGGTTAAAATCGGCCTGGATGGAAGACCCACGCGATTGACGTATGCCGGTATGACGACGTGCTTTGACAATCAGGAGGCCATTTCCACCAAACTTTTCAATGACGATATGGGACATTATGGACTGAGCGTCGCCTGCATGAAAACCTTTAACGGCTTATTTACAACTAGTAAACATTCGAGTTATTTACAATTTAAATCAAAGATGTTCGGACCGAAAAATTCTGATCAAGTGATCAAGGAGACTACCAACCATATAAGAATTAATTTTATGTCTTATGTAAGATTAGCGTTTACATAGGCCAGGCCGTCGTACGTATCCGCCGAGTAGTGTTTCGGCCCATGAGTCTTAGCCCATGAGCACTATGAGTGTTAATAGTAATTCCGCGAACAAGTATTCGAACAAAAAAACACTTAAATTTTGAGAGAGATCGAAATTGTATTAATTTTTCGAAAATTTTGTATTTTTCTTGAGAATGAAGTGATCGTTAGGAAATTATTGTGAAATTATTTTTATTTTGTTAAGCTTAAATGTGAGACATTAATTCGGGAATTTTTATTTCAAGATATTATTGTACTTTTTTTAAATAATACGTAGATCTTAAATCGTTCTTTATCGAACCGCTCAGCATCTGTGCAACCGATCCTCAAGCAAATCTTGATTTATCGACATACTTCACATTGTAAAGTTTCTGCAGAGAAAATTCTGATTGATTGCATTGAAATGTACTACTTCCCAATAAAAATATGAAATGCACTGTTGCGAATTGTGTCGACGTTTTACCCCTTCCTCCTCCCCCTTCCCACCCTCGGAAGTAACGTAACTCACCACCACCTGCTGCCATATACCTAATAGTCAATTGTTCTCCACGGAGCGTCGTCAGTCCGTTGCTAACTGCCCTGCCGAGTCGAGCCGCAGCACTGCCAATTTTACCAGATAAAAAGCACGCATAATGTTTCGCACGAGATCGCAGGGAAGCATTGGGTTCGTTTTTTTTTTTCATTGCAATGTCAAATTATTCGAATTGGAGACGTGTCTTTTGATACACGTTAGAAGAGAAAAGTATACACGAGCATTATTTTTTGTTATGTTTTTCATGGTCTCGCATAGCGACCGCGAGAAGGAGGCTAAATTCGTGCAGGATCGCATCGACGCGGTGGAGAAACACTTTGCCGAGCTCTGCACGGTATTCGCCGCGTACACGAGGAAAGCCGCCAGGTACAAAAAAAAAAATCCTACGAATCGCGTAGCGATTTTTGACTTGACTCTTCGATCATTTTTAGATTGAGGGATAAAAATGACGAGGTGGTGAAAACTATACAAATTTATGCGGACTCGGAGGACATCAACCGATCGATGAGCAGCTGCTTGACGAATTTCGCCAATACTCTGGGCGTCGTGGGTGATTACAGGTGAGCAAAGTCAATCGTCGCGTATCGATATTACTTTACCTGCTTTTACCGATCTCCGGACGTCGGCCGTACGCAGAGATGCCGAAGTGCAGAGGCTCAATGCCAAGGTGGTGGTGCCTCTGTCTCAGTACCAGAACACCTGCAAGAGAGCCAAGGAAAACGTGAGGAACACCTTCGCGGCTCGCGACGAGGAGCTCAAGCGCAAACGACTGCTGGAAAAGGTGCGCGAGGAAAATCCCAAGAATCAGCAGAGAATCGTAAGTGGGCCCGTATATTCGATGATCAGCTGCTCTCGATTTTCCGGCATTATGGCGAATTATCGAGAATATGTATTACAGGCACAGGCCAAGACGAACCTGATGAAAGCCACCGTGGAGGTGTCGAGGGTGGTCAAGGGCCTCGAGGAGCAGATCGACTCGTTCGAGAAGCAAAAGCTGCACGACGTCAAGACGATAATGACGAATTTCATCACGGTCCAGCTGAGCTTTCACGCCAAGGCCGTGGAGCTGCTCACGAAAGCCTATCAGGACGTGGCCGAGATGGACGAGCTTCACGATTTGGAGGTGCGTTTAGTCATTTTCCACCACATCCTGTTAAATTACGCAAACTCGTTTATTACCAATGTGTTTTTAATACGTCATTTTGTGCTATCGCAGAACTATCAATTAGCGAGAGGAGAATTGAATAGGGTAATCTTGTTACAATCAATTGATATATAATCCTTTTCGCACCAATCAAATTGTATCATACACCACTCGAACATATCGTCTATCGCAAATTCAGTGAGATTGAGACGATCTTCGTTGTCTTGTAGGAATTCAGAACGGCCATGAAATCCCAGGACTCGTCGAGTTCGGCCTCCAACAACAAGAGATCCGGTGGTTTTCGTCAGTCCTACTCGCTGATGAATCTGAACAATCGTTCCTCGCCCTCGCCCACCAGCCTGAGAAAGCAAAAGATGCACAGAACTTCGGGTTCTTTGGTAATTATCATACATGCACGAGAAATAACGACAAAACTGCACTGCTTAAGTGTGAAAGCTCATTATTACGTTTATTTTTCCGCAAAAAATTGTATATATGTTTCAATGTGTATTTTGTGCTTCGTTTAGGATTCCACCAAGACCGCGCAGACGAACTCGTCGGAATCGGTGGAGATCGAGGAGTACAACGACAGCGACTCCGACGACTCCGAGGAGACGTCCTCGATTCGAGACAAAAAATTAGTGAGATCTCGGCTCAAAACCATGTAAATAAGTTGATTGACGTTTTTTTTTAAGCGTACACTGTTAATTGTATTTTGTAGAGAAAAAAAGCTGCGAAAAGAAAGAAAACCAATCGTCTTGTCTTGAAAATGGTTCCCTCCCTTCCCAAATATCAAAAGAACTTGACATCCTCATTGATTCACAGCATAAGTTACTTATAAATAATATACGTACTGTAAAAATTGAGTAATTTCATTCGAGTAAAAATCATGACGTTTAGAAAATTTCTGAAATTCTCTATTCAATTACAGATTCTAAACATGCAGAATTGTTTGTACATTGAGTATCCTAGTGCAAATAGGTATAAAAAGTAATACAGTTTTTTAAATTGTTCTTCTCATTATTCAACAAGCATCAATTCAATTAATTTCCGCCGCTTTCGACTCCTGCTTGAGCCATCAGATCACCAATGCTCCTCTCCAAGTCGTCTATCCTATTGCCCATTTCATCTAGTAATTCTCTTTAAGGAATAACATGTAAATAATATTGTAATTGCAGATTAATAAAGTTACTGAGATTAGTTGTAAGAAACTATAAAAATTTTTGTGTCATTTCTTAGTCAATCAAGAAAGAAAAGAACTGCTAAAATATCTGAATGAAGCTAATAATTTAAACTGATAATTGCATAAAAAGGATATTTCTTCCAATGATTTGTTCTGACATTGCTTGAAATTTGTCCTGCATGTTTTCAAGTAAGGTTTGGACCTAAAATAACAAGTTTATTGAATTAATATAAAGTGTCATTCAAAAAACACACAATTCAAAACTGAACTCACATAATTTGTCAACTCTTGAACATTCTTTGGATCCATCGAGGCATTAGCCATGGCATAGTTTTCACTGTCGTCGATTTTCAAATCAGTATTATTAGCTTCAGCCATTCTGGAAAAACACAAACAAGTTGTATCACAATCAGAGCAAACAAACAACAATTAGGAGTGCATTGTTTTCGATTCTTTTTTCAGAAATCAAAATCCAAACGAGCACTCACGTTATCGGATTTTTGAGCGCAAATTAAGAAAGATCAATCTGTACTTGATTAATAAAAAAATCAAACGCAATCAACAACACTACGGATTAAAATTTGTCGCGTCTACTTTGTATCGTACTATCACTGAACGCCTATAACCTCTACGCTCCGAAACTACGTCACACACATTCGTAGCTGACACTGTGCCGACGTTTATGTATGTTTGGTATTGACGTTTTGAAGATTCCTTTTTCGTCATATTATAAAGTCTACTTCCTTGACAACACAATTATCAATGATCGATCAAACAACGACGATTGTGAACAATGTCTAATAATGTATAAGTCTTATAGCGTTGAAATTCAAACCGCACCTTTTGGTAAAAAAACGTTAATTTGAAAATAATAATTTTGAATCTTACGACATTAAGGGTGAAATGAAGGCTGATTCAAAAAATAAATCAATCATATCAGATATCGCTGGGAAGCACATAGTGAAAATCCTTAGACTTATTCAAAGTATCGAACACTTTCCTCGTCTGCATATTGTCTTACAGTTGATTCAACTGCAATTTTGCGATTAGCAAAACAAAGTAGAGGAATTAATTAAAGCCCGAATGTATTCGCAATAGATAATCTAATTTCACAACGTTTCAAGCGTTTTTTTTTTTGCATTTTTTTCTACGATATTGAGGCCTGGTATTACTCATTTTTTAATATTCAATATTTTTATAATTATGGAAAAAAACATACAATGGGAATTTCATATTGTTATTTTTCAATTGAAAAAAAAAAACATCGTGTTCTCAACAACCCCTTCTATAAATTATTGAATATGAAATCGCGACATCCAAAATCAGAATTTTTTTCGTAAAATGTGAGTGAAAAAATTGATTCTTCATTCGGTGATTGAAGTTGAATATAAAGCGTAATTTTATTTAAATTTAATAACTGTATACAATACGGCATTTAAATGGAAGATGAAATTTGAAACGGAGCGAGTAAACTGCGATTTCGCCTATCGCGATAAATTCGTATTTATGACGATAAAAAACCGGAGCCGCAGTTGACAACTTGTCAAACGAATCGGTGGACAATTCTAAATCTTTATCTTTCACGAGGAAAATAACACTTTCAATTTTTCAGCTACAATATCGCGTAGTGCACTATCAAGTTGAAAGGGGGAAAATAATTCGAAAACAAAATAACATAAAAATTCATTACATTCCCTCGCTCGCTAATTAACTTGATTTTTATCGCGCTCAGCTAATTAACCGCGGCAACTTTGCTGTAGCAAGGACATTTTTTTGGATCTGTCATATCGTTGTTGTTGTTGTGGTGCAGACAAAACTTAGGCGATTGCAGCAGTATCGCATGCGCCGCCGAAGTTACAATGTTATTGTATGCGTAGTGCTGCGTCACTCGCGCCAGCTGATCGCGCGACTTTTTACTTCTCTCGCTCTCTGTTTTGCTCGTCGTGTTATTGCTCTCGCTCGAGACGTCTCGCGTGTCGTGTCGTGCGTATTTGCATCGGACCATACACGCCTCCAACTCTCTCTCTTTCTCTCTCTATGAGCATAATAAACTCAAATATTTTGGGAAGTCAGTCTGGAGATGTTTTTCCGACCGAGAGCGTGTAACGTACTCGCGCGCTCCTCCTCGTCGTTCGACGTAATAATAATACCAGTACGTGCGCAAGAGACATGTTTTTCTGAGCCAGTGTTTTAACACAATATAAAATCGGAGCAAAGTACAGTGCCGTTGAAAACATTAGAACTTCGTGTGACCGCGAGTCGGAAGCTTGCATATTTTCGCCATGCGATTGTCAACGGTTTGTTATTTAGCTGTAACGCTGCTGTGCTGCGTTTGCTTCGCGCAGACTTTCCGATTTAAAGGAGGGCAAAGATCTCCAGTTATTTTGGGTACGAATCGTGGATATGTTTTTTTTTTCTTTGTTCACGTTGTGTACGCGCGATGGTATCCCGACGTAAACCTTTGTTTATTTCTTTTATTCTCGCAGTACCCGGGGATGGAGGTAGCCAGGTGGAAGCTCACATCAACAAGACCTCGGTGGTGCACTACGTCTGCGAAAAAACGTCCAAGGGATTTTTTAACATTTGGTTGAATTTGGAACTGCTGGTGCCGATAATCATCGATTGCTGGGTAAAATCGTCAATGACTAATGAACTTTTATTTTCGTGATTTATTTCCTCGATGAATCATTTTTATTGATGATTATTGTTTGTATTTTTTTTTGTAGATTGATAATATGAAGCTTATCTATGACAATGCCACACGGACGTCTAGAAACCCAGATGGAGTAGATATCAATATCCCCGGGTGGGGAGACCCTTTCGTTGTGGAATACTTGGATCCGAGCAAGGCTTCTCCTGGTGCTTATTTCAAGTACATTGGAGATATGCTCGTTAAAGATTTAGGATACATTCGTAATATATCATTACGTGGTGCTCCTTATGATTTTAGAAAAGGACCAAGTAATAAAAAATTTTTATAACTGGGACTTATAAAAGTATTGCATCATCCTAAAATGTTTCATTTTTTCAGATGAAAATGAAGAGTACTTTACCAAGCTCAAAGAACTTGTTGAAGAAACTTACATAATGAATTTTAATCAACCTGTTACTCTGTTAGCTCATAGCATGGGTGGTCCAATGTCTTTGATATTTTTACAGCGACAAACTCAAAAATGGAAAGATAAATATATCAGTTCTCTGATAACCCTGGCTGGGGCATGGGGAGGTTCAGTCAAAGCTCTCAAAGTTTTTGCAATTGGTGATGATTTGGGAGCTTATTTATTACGTGAGAGTATTTTAAAGGATCAACAAATTACTAGTCCAAGTTTAGGATGGTTGTTACCATCTAAATTATTCTGGAAAGATGATGAAGTACTAGTACAAACTCAAACCAAAAATTATACATTTGCTATGATAAAAGAATACCTAATGTAATTTATGAATTTATTATTTTCATTAATATGATATTCGATGAATACTCAAATTTCAATTGATGTATTACAGAGATATTAATGTGCCAAATGGTTGGGAATTTTATAAAGACAATGAAAAGTACCAACTTGATTTTAGGCCTCCTGGAGTAGTATTACATTGTTTGCATGGAGAAAAAGTTGATACTGTTGAAAAGTAAGATTTATAATTTCTACATGACACAAATTAATTGTATTCTTTAAGTTAATTAATTAAAATTTTTTTTCAGACTTTATTATAAACCTGGAATTACAATTGATGGCTATCCTCAATTAATTCCAGGGAATGGGGATGGAACAGTAAACATAAGAAGTTTGGAAGGTTGCATGCATTGGACTGATAAACAAAAACAAAAAATTTATCATCAACCTTTTCCAGGAGTAAACCATATGCAAATTTTGAGTGACAAAAAAGTTCTAGATTACATTAAAAATGTATTAAACTTTAGTTAATACCACTCAGAGATTCTTTTGAATTCAGGTTCAATTAAATTAATTAAATATTTTAAGAATGTTGATATTAACTTGACTTAGAGAGCATGGATATTTAAAAAATATACCATTGTTCATACTCTGTTGTGTGTTAGTGAGATTACACTTGTTATTTATAGAAATCGTATACAAATATTTATTGTTAAGCTTTTGTATGCCGCCTTATATTCTTGCAGACTTCCACGAATAATTTAATTTTCATTAAGTTTACCAAAAGTAGTTTATTTCATTTTGACTGACTAGAGCTGTGACTAAAAACATATGTATACTTATTTACAACACAGTGTCTTAGGATTCGTGGCAATATAAATTATAATAAATATAAAATATTTTCAATAAAATGTAATAACTTTCATAAAACTCTGTTACTTTTACTTTATCCTGTGTCCTAACTCATTTAAATTGGTAAGGGTTTGAAGTGTCAAAATATAATAACATTTGATGAAATTTTTTAATAAATATTCTGTACTTCTTTACTAATTTTCCAAACATTGATAATAACCTTCTATGAATATATTACATACGCAAATATTTCACAGAAAATATTACTTTAGATCTAAAATTTTACAGACATAAAATAGTAGCTTTTCTTCCATTTTAACTGTCATTAACATTCACTTATTAAATTGCAATGTCACATTTTGTAAAGAAATTATACATTTAATGATACTGCTCAAGTAATTGTTCAGCCAACTGAACACAATATAAAGGCAGCAGAGGAATGCTTGAGACTTCTACTAAAACATTTTTAATACATCAGCACCATTTAGAAATATTTTCTCCAACACCATCATTGTACAAATGAATATTTAATATATAGATATTTAGACAGTATGTGATTGAATTTTCAGATTTATGCATTGATTATGCCCAACAAGTTATATTTTATGAAAGTTTAATCAGATACTGTAAAAACAATTGTAACAAATGATTTTTGGAATATTAAAATATAGTTTATACATTATAATAATTTTATACACAATATAACATATAATTAAATTATCTAAATTTTGCAAAATTGGCATTTGATCTAAGATAAAATTTTAAATTACAATAAATAAACATTTTCCACTAGAGGATAACTGTCTTAGGATAATAATTAAATTAGACTCTATAATAAAAATATCAAATTTAGCTATGGTCAGTTTAGTCCTGAAGAAGTTTTCAAGAATGCATATAAACCAAAAGCCAAGATAGTAACAACTGTAAAAGTCTTGTAATTTCTTAAGCGAATTGGAATTTTTGGTTGTTGTGTTCGTGCTACTCTTAAACTACGCTGTCTTTCACGTTCATTTCGTACAGCTTCTGTTCTGGATTTCCACTCTTGTTCTTTTCTTCTTCTTTTGAAATCAAATTCCCTTACATCACTGTCAATTGAATCAGGAGGGAATAATTGATACAGTTTAGTTGTGTGATATAGAAGTTTTTCAAATGGCAAATCATCTGGTAACTACATTTTTTTAAACACGTGATTTAAAATTAATACTTGATTAATTTAACATTGAAATTGAGAATAAAAGAAAATATTTCTTACCGTACTAAGAACTTTATGTGTATGGCCCATATCTGGTGTAGTATTAAATATTTCCTTATCTCTATAGGCAACAATTTTGGTACTTAAGTATAAAGGAATTAATGGAGGACTTCCAAGAAAGAAATCAAATAATCTGTGTAATAGTTTCCTATTTTCTGAATATTTGTGAGCATACCACGTGGTGTACTCAGCTAAAGCAAAATGTGGAAATAGTTCTACACTGTAATAAAAGAAAATTGTTATTTTATCAGCAACGCTAACAGTTTTTAAGGTATAATTACTTTTCTAAGTGTTCCAATAACAACGGATGCTCTCGGTCCAACAATGCAAATATGTAAAATAGTTCTTGATTAACTTTTTCCATAGTTTTCTCCATAAATCTTTCTAAAAATGTCACAGAAATTTTTTCTAAAACCTGTAAGCCCTGTTGCAAGCCCATGACTAGTAAAACCGTAGCAGCCACATCGTTGTAGCCTTGATAATAACTGCAAAACGCAAAAGGTTCAGTAAAAAAAGAGCACCAAACGACAAGCGCCATACTTGGGCGTACTCACTTGAGCTCTGGATGCCGAGACAGTACCCAGCATATGATTTGTGTCAATTCCATCTGGAATTTCTCCATCTCCTCGTCAGGAGTGTCCTCTGGCATATGACTATTACTACGAGCTACATCTTTCTGTATTTGATAATAAACATCACCATCGATAAGTTTATGTACATCCTCTAGGCTTTCAACTACATCATCTTCCTTCTCCGGTAACTTGAGCAGCTTTGGCCATAAAAGTTTTCTAATTTTGTCTGTCATTGAGAAAACAGTAAAGAGATCAATTAGTTGGAGAAACTTTGATCGTATCGCAATGAACTCACCATGAACTAGACCTTCGCTGCTTCGGCTAAGCAATCGCAATTCGTTTAAAGTTAAATTTGGCTTGGATATCGTCCCCTTGATCACTATGAGCTTCAGCCTCTCCAACTCTGTTGTGCACACGAACACACGATCGATTTATCAGTATATACGACGATAAAAAGAAATGACAGCTGTCAAAGGAGAGTGAGACAGAGAGAGAAAGAGAGAAAGGAAGAGGAAGAACAGAGGCGTGTGTGTGTGTGCGAGGTGCCGCTGTCGCTCGGCTGTGCTCACCTGTTGAGTGCAAATGGGCGATGTCGGGGCAGTCGGGCACCCCGGGCCCGTCGGCGCGCCAGATGCTGTCCTCGTTGGACATGACGAATCCGTTGGAATGGTCGCGCAGTCGGCTGCGATATCTGCTCGCGGCGCGACTACTGCCACTGGGACTGCCGTCGTCGTCGCTCCCCCCGATGCTCTTCTCTTCGTCTGCTGCTGCTTCGTCGTCTTCGGCCTCAGCAGCTGGCATTCGAACGCGTTGGTTGATGCTGATACTGATGTTGTTGTTGTCGTTGTCGTCGTTGTATTGGACGTCGCGCGCGGGTGTTGCTCGCACAGCACTGAGCACACTGCACACAGCACACACGGCGTATCTCCTACTACTCAACTATATAAATGTGTATTCGCACGCGAAACGAAACGAAAAAAAAAAAAACAGAACTGACTCTATCTTCCGGGGTAAAGCCGCAGTAATTGTCGTCGGGTCGCGATCACAGCCAGGAGCATGATGTCCAAGTCACGCAGTACAGTCAACGTCATTCGCGAATTCGCAATATATAAGCAGAAGCGTGTGCTCTCCGACACTGGCATCAATTGATATACGCGCACGCACGGGGGGTTTTCTAACCCTCTCTGGCGCGATCAGCAGCGACCACCGGGGGGGGAAAAACACTATATACGGCTGCTCTCGAGCGTCGAGGGCTGCTCGCGCGCGCGCGTGTCAACGTGGCCCAATCACATCGCCTCGTATACACATGGAATATATAATTTATTAAATAATTAAATAATTTACAAGAGACGCTCTGCTGTCGAGAATCGAGCCGCGACGTATATTATCCGACGTATTTCATCGACTCATCTATATCTCCGACTTCTGAGCAGGCAGAGAGAGAGACTAATCGTTGTTGTCGCTATCAGTCAGTATGCAGTCATTCCACAGCAGACGTGTTGTGTATATAATAAAATGACTATATATCGCAGGCAGCAGCAGCACGAAACTGCAACGTGAGCGAGGGGGACTCAGTCAGATCTGCGTGCGTCATGCGGACGTTTTCTCTTCTCCAGAATTCTAACATGTGTGCGTGTAAACATACACACACACACACAAACACGTTGACATTGTGCGACGTTGATATTGCGCGACACATGTATACAAATACACATACACATGAACACGCGCCCGCGGAAAGTCAGAATCGAGCGGTCTCGAGCGACACCTTCCGATCGAAATCGCAACTATGCACTCGCGACAGAGCGAGTAAAGATCGGTCGAATGACTCGAGCTTCGATTTTTCGACGGTTTTTAGAGCTCTTTATGCGTTTGGAGAAATAATAAAATATGAGAGGATACCTTATATTTGTTGAAAAAATTACTTTTCAAAGTACTAAGGAATTGAAAGATATTTTTGACAAAAGATACAGCTCGATCATAATAGGGTGAATGTGCCTATAACCGACCACACAAATAAATAGAAATATATGCGAAATTTCGACGAAATAAAATATTTTTTCGTTTCTATAAGACTATAAATGTTATTGTTTCAGAGAAAACTCTTAGTACAGTTGAAAATTATTAAATCTTGTTCGTTGTTCAATTTATAATTCTGACCTGGTCGAAAATTGGGCTACACAACTATCCATCCATTTTTCGACCACCTCCATTAATCCTTAATAATTTTCATTTAAAAGTTTTTTGTTCAATTTGAAAATCAACAATAGGTTCCTCATGCACTTCTAGACACATATGTTATTTATTATGCTTTTAGATGTCAAAAACAAAAATTTAACCGAGTACCAAGCTCGAAGGATCTTTGACAGTTCAGTGAGGTGGTATATTTTTAAAATATCACCAGCATTTTTTGGCCAAGTGTATGTACTCATTCGAAAGATTACTTTTTTTTTTCTATCAGAAGGTATTTTTAGAAAAATTTTCAAACGTCGTGCACGAGCTCTGTAAATGAGTAAAGAAACATTTTTTTTCTTAATTGTCCGAAATATGGCGCAATAACTCTATTGTAATTATAAAACCCTAGCTTAGGAGAACGACTTGAAAATGTAATTTGAGCTCTGCAAAGCTGTTGAATCATTAAAAACAATACACTCATTTATTATGAATTATTATTATGTCAATCATAATTTTGAAAAATTCAAAATCATCGAAATCGAAACGTATCGAGCCGATGTAAACACCAACGACGTGTACGGCAATTAGTCACGACCGTCCCAGTAAACACGACGGTTTATTCGCGCGCGAGTCTCTCTCGAAATCGAGACTGAAAATTCGGGCAGCAGCAGCAGCAGCAGTTTCTCGTAACAGAAAAAAGAAAAAAAAATCTCGCGCGCGCGACATGGCGGACGAGGAGAATTCCAGTACGGGCGACACGGTGGACGAGAAAAGTCCCAGTAGTACGGCTGATATGGTGGACGAGGAGAATTCCAGTACGGGCGACGCGGTGGACGAGAAAAGTCCCACCAGTACTGGTGACACGGCGGACGAGGAGAATCCCAGTACGGGCGACGCGGTGGACGAGAAAAGTCCCACCAGTACTGGCGACACGGCGGACGAGGAGAATCCCAGTACTGGTGACACGGCGGACGGAGAGAGTCCCAGCAGCAAAGACAGTTTTAAGCCGGAAATCGTCGACGTGATCAGGAAGAAGGACTACGTGAGGCCGGGCGCCCACGACTCGCCCTCGCCAGAGCCCACGCCCAAGGACAGACAGGTACTGGACCCCCAGTGGGTGCACTGGAAGCCGAACTACTGCCTGCAAGCGCTCGTGATCGCCGACGACTACGTCGACCGCGAGCTGCGCCACGCCGAGCGCGCCTACCCGACCAGTCTGCTGCCCGTCTGCAACACACCCGTGCTCGAGTACGCCCTGCACGGCCTGGCCGAGTCCGGGGTGCGCCTCGTCTACGTGTACTTCACGCGCAACTTCGACCTCGCCCGGCACTGGCTAGCCAGGCTCAGGCAGCAGTTCGCCCACAAGCAGGTGATCAAGGCCTACTACGGCCACGAGGCCGAGTCGCTCGGCGACGTTCTCCGGGACGTCCACGCCAAGGGCTGGTTCCAGACGGAGTTCGTACTGGTGCGCGGATCGGCATTCACCAACGCCGATCTCCCGGACCTGATGAAGAAGTACCAGGAGAGGCGCGACGAGGACGAGGCCGCCATCATGACGATGCTCTTCAAGCGCTACGAGAATTTGAGGGACGCGCCGCTCAGGCACGAGCGCATCGTGCTGTTCTACGACGACGACGACGACAAGGTGGTGAGGATGATCAAGCACCCGAGCTCGAGCGAGAGCCTCAAGCGGGCCGTGAGACTGCCCGACGTCAATAACCTGCACTACAGGTTCGCCACCGACATGCTGGACACGCGCGTCTACCTCTGCTCCGAGGAGGTGCCGCTCGCCTTCGCGGCGAATACCAGTCTCCATGTAAATATATACAGCATCGCGCGATCGCGATCGGAACTGCGACTCTCGAATTTTTATTCATTATTTTATTTGTTCGTTCGTTTCGACAGACGATGGAGGAGTTCGTCGATTACATCGCCGCCAACGAGGCGGACTTCGGCGCTCGGATATTCTGGCGGAGGCTCGGCTACCCGGAGATCTCGCTGCCCGTGCTGTCCTGGCGCGCCTACCGGATGCTGACCAGGTGGATCCTCGAACGCAAGTGTCCGCCGCTGTTCCCGGGCAATCATCCGGACTCTCTGCGCCCGTACAAGCTGCAGAGCCGCCTGACCATGTCGTACCTGCACTGGAGGTCGCTCGCGATCGACGGCTCGCTGATCGGCAGCCGATCGATGCTCGGTAACAAGAGCCAGTTGGGCGACGGGTCGATCATGGATAGGTCGATCGTCGGAGACCACTGCCAGATCGGCTCGAGGTGCAGGTTGGAGAACACGCTGCTGTTCGGCGAGACGATCATAGGAAACGACTGCGACCTGAAGAACGCGATAATATTCCCGAGGTGCACGATACCGGGCGGTACGCGACTGACGAATTGCGTGGTGATGCCCAACGTGAACGTGACGGAGACCCGAGACTTCGCGAGCGTCGTGCTGGACAAGGAGCCGACGTCCAGGCGATTGACCGAGCGGCCGCTCGCCGAGTCGGAGGTCTATCGAATTTTTACCCAAGACGACCACGACGAGGACGGTTTGGACGATTTTCCCAGCCACGGGTCGAGCAACGCGGCATTCCTGCTGCGCGTCAGCACCGTGGTGATGAAGGGCTACGTGGACGGACGCGCGCCCTCCGAGGTCATGTCGCGGATCGTCAGGCACGTGACTCCCGACAATCTGCAGCAGCTTCCCTACACCATAGCGAGGTCGTTTCTCGAGGTGGCCGCCATTCTCACGGAGGGAGTACCCCAGGAGCGCAGAGTCAACGAGTACTGGGAGACCCTGGAAGGCATGATGAAGTACTATCACGAGATACTGGTGGAGCACGTGCGCGACGACGCGAACGCGCAGCAGGACTTTTTGGAGGCCCTGGACGATTTCATCGTCTACAACAGAGCGCTGTTCTTGCCGATCGTCAAGGATCTGTTCGCCTTCCTGGTGAACGAGAGAATCATAGGGACGGACGTTGCCATGGACTGGTATCGGCACGACGCCGAGTTCCCCCCGAACATGCAGCGAGAGGAGCGAAAGATCATCAAGTTCATGAGAGAACGGTGGGCCGAAATAATGGGCAGGGCCATAAAGTGGGGCGTGAAATCGGGTCGCATGCTGCCGCCGGAAGAGACGGAGCAAGAGAAAAGAAGGAGAGAGAGGGTGGAAGCGAGACAGAGAGCGAGAGATGAGGGACGCCTGCCGCCGCTGGAAGAAGAGACGGAAGACGAAGACGAGGAAGAGGAAGAAGCGAGACGAGAAGCTAGAGAAGAAGAAAGAGAAGAAGAAAGAGAGGAAGAAGAAGAAGAAGAGGAAGAAGAGGAGGAAGAGAAGGAGGAAGAGAAGGAGGAAAAAGAAGAAGAAGAAGAAGAAGAAGAAAAAAAAGAAGAAGAAGGAGAAAGATAAGAAGGAAGAGAAGAAGAATGACAAGAAGATCTTCTTAAATATCATACCATCGCTGGGTTGCGATACATTATTGTAAATATTATATATTGTAATATAATATATTGATCTTCATTAAATATTATCATATTACAATATATTGTAAATATTTGTACACGTTGAAAAAATAATAACTTCTCTATGCTTATCAAGGAATTGTTTTAGTAAAAAAAATCTTTAAAAAAAACTGGACTCAGGAAAAAATGTATCGATAAACTCATTATTAACATTAACTTCATAAGATCAAGATTATCGACTTTTTTAGCATCAATCCAGGTAGCAAGAGATCTCTAAAATAATTCAAATTGATGAAAATATCTTATTCAGTTTTGAATTCTTAACTAACTTATATTTTTGAAGCATCGGTAATTCGGAAACAATGTTTAATGGCATTCGATCTATTTAGCTCGATTACCTATTGATTTTATATCACAGACGAAGAAAAGAAATCTCTTTTTCAATTCAGAAATCGTATTAAATTTGGAAGAATTAATAATTTCTTTCAAAAGTTGATAGTGCATTTGATGCAAAACCAATAAAATCTATAATGATTTGGTATTATGTCATATCGAACATAAATGCCAAGACGCGCCTTCTTCATCTCGCGTCAAAGCCTATAGAGACATTGAAAAACGAAAATAAAAATCAACGTTTACGTCACGCAGCTTTTTTATCGACTTCAGGAGGCTGTAGCGATATTGAAAAAATCTCTAGACCGGAGTGAGATTTTAACCACTGATAGTTCATGAAATTACAAGATTTTTGGTAAAAAAAAAAAATTGGGGGTTTCCATGCAAATTTAGGAAATAATGAAATTGAAAGTTTCGCCCATTTAACATTGAATCAAATGGGAAGTGGCAGTTGTTAGTGTACTGTGAGCTCAAATCTCTTTACAAGTTAATGAAATTAACATATGTTATAGAAAATTTCATTAGCTTTCGAATGATATAATTATAAATGGATGTTTCCAGGCAAATAAAAAAGATATTAAGAGTCCAACACTTTTTCCTTATGTTCTGCCATGCTAACGCTGTGCGCTGCGTAACGGATATAGCATTGCGCATGTAGCGCTTTAATACAGAACCACCTTGCATCGCTACAGCCTCCTTAAAGAGCGCGCAAAATGCGTTGATCCAGTTCAATGTTAAGAATGAAACCACCTATAGGTTTGATCTACGCTTGAGCAATTAGTCATTAGTCATTATATTAAATTTATATTTGCATTAACCATTGTGTATGGTAATTTGACTCCTTTCTCCTTTAATCTTAATAGGTTATGGGCCTAGGGGTTTCAAAAGAAAAAAATTAATAAGTGCCCAGTTGAAAAAAATTGCGTGGATATCCACGTGGATCATACAGAGATTCCTTGAGGATGGGACATTGATTCCACGTGGATCGAACATGGATCATATAAAGAGTCCACGTACGTAAACCACGGGGATTTGCAATCCTCGTTGATTTTCGATCGATCCACGAGAATTGAAAAAAAATCAGCGTGGATCAGTCGAATATCCGTGCTGATTCGCCGCGTATCCTCGTGGATGTTTCGAGCGCGTGATCGAGAAAAAGTTCTACATCCACGAGGATTGAAAAAAAATCAACGTGGATCAGTCGAAAATCCGTGCTGATTCGCCGCGAATCCTCGCGGATGTTTCGAGCGCGTGATCGAGAAAAAGTTCCACATCCACGAGGATTGAAAAAAAATCAGCGTGGATCAGTCGAATATCCGTGGTGATTGCATTTTTTTCAGCCCATGATCGATCCACGAGGAATCCCTGTATGATCCACGTGGAATCCCTGTACGATCCACGTGGAATCCCTGTATGGTCCATGAGGATTACTAATCTTGTGGATTTCCACGTGGATATCCATGCAATTTTTTTCAACTGGGTGATAAGTTCGCTGAGCAATTTTTTTCTTCGCCCAGGAGGTTCAGTGTTCGCACGTACCAGTATAAGTGAAAAATGAATAGTCTCACACGTATCCAACTGTTGGAGAAAAATAATTACGAGACTTGGCGGATGCAGATGGAAGCTGTGCTAGTGAAAAATGATTCGTGGCAATATGTGAATGGCACGGCAGTGAAACCAGAAAATGCCACGCAAAATCCAACTGTTGATGCAGAATGGAAAAGAAACAATGCAAAAGCCAAAGCTGATTTCATCTTGTGTGTAAGTCCAAATCAGTTATCGCAATTGAAAATATGTAATACTTCGAGGGAAGTATGGACCAAGTTAGAAAATGCATTTGCATCTAAGGGCGCGGCAAGAAAGGCAACCCTATTAAAACAGCTCACGCTGAAAAAGATGAACGAAGGCGATGACATTACGGTCCTTTAGTCGGTATAATTTATCGCTACAAATGTTGTCCAAAAATAGTCATTTCAGGCGTTAAAGGGTTAAAATAAAATTACGATCTAAGAAAATTAAAAATTTCAATATTTATATTTATTTTGTTTATCTAATACTCAGATACATTTTACCATAATACATTTTATCTAATACTCAGTCTTTGGAGATCTGTCGAAACGTTAGCGGCAACATCGAGCTACAATAAAATTAAAAGTAAAATCAATGCCAAATGTTTCTCTACACCAATGCGTGACATGCTCCATCCATCACGCAAATTTTATACAAGTCCTGGTTCGTCAAGGTCTCGAGGACTATCTCGCAGACCTCGACGGGCAGTCGGTGCCAGATCAGATCCCAGAACGGGTACAGCGCCCATTCTCGGTAAAATTTTCTGGCAATCGTCTCGCACAGATGCCTGCAGCAAGCCGCTTGACGGGCCTCGGCTAGCTCGGACAGCTTCCTCGAGCGCCACAGCTCGAAGTAGTCCTGATAGGCGACTCGTTTTTCTGCCACTTTGGGTGGCAACCGGACCAGCTCGTAGAGCGTCAGTTTCCCGACCCCTATCGCTCTGCTTTGCCTCGCGAACGTCTCGTCGCCATCGTCCTCCTCGTACCAACGTTCGGCCGGCAATGGCTCATTGTAAACACCGAACTCGTTGAGAGACTTCATGATCATTCGGGCTTGAGCAAACTTCAGCTCGTATTCTCTATTCGCGAGATGATGGAGGCAGGCCAGCGCGCCCGAGACCAGTCTCAGTTTGAAAAGATGCGAATTCTCACCGTTTTGCGGCTTAACGTTCGCGGCGAAGTAATCCTCGGTGGGAAAGACGAAATTGGCCAGATCTGCGCCCCGTTCCAGTAGCAGATCGACCATGCTCGGTAGTAGTTGCGCCACGGCCCATTGCAGAGGCGTCCGGCCCGACTTATCCTTCGTGTCGACCAGCACGTACCGATTTCTCTCCTGGCTGATCTCGAAAAACTTCTTAGCCCTGTCGGCGCTGTAGTAATACCTGCTCAAAATGTGCAGCGGCGTCTGGCCCTCCTCGGGGTCGATCGCATTCGGATCGGCGCCGTGCCTCAGCAGCAGCTCGGACAGCCTGCCGCGGTTCCTCTTGCTCAGTGCCAGATAGAGCGGGGTCCTGCCTCTGGCGTCCCTCGCGTCGACTCGCAGCTGCGTGCCGTAGACGCGGAAGAACTGCTCGGCGAGGCGATCGTCGACGCCCCCCCGGCAAGCCGCGTGCAGAGGCGTGTGGCCGTCGACGTTCGCTACGTTCGGATCCGCGTGCCTGCACATCAGAAACTCGGCCGCGGTCCGGTGCCGGTTCGAGAGCGCTAGGTGCAACGGCGTATCGCCCCCCTTGTTTCGCAGCTCGATCTGCAGCGGCCGCTTCTGAAGAAAGCTGCTCGCGAACAGAGCCAACGCGACGATGTCGCCGTCGCCGTCGCCGTCGCCGGGCGATTGGAGGATCAGGTGCAGAAGCGTCGATCCGTCGGCGTTCCTCAGATTCAGATCGGCGCCGCGTCGCATCAGCTCGACCGCGTTCCCCATCTGGTCGAAGTTTCGCATGGCCAGATGCAGCGGAGCGTTACCCCGCAGGTCGCGCGCGTCGATATCTGGCGGACGCTGACTCGCGTCGACGATCTCCCAGAATCTCTTCATGAAGTAAGCATCGAAGGGCCGGGATCCGAGGAACAACAGGTGCAGAGGTGTCGATCCGTCGGCGTTGGCCAGAGTCAAGTCGGCGCCTCGATTCATCAGCAGCACGGCAGCCTTCCTGCGTTTCACCAACAGAGCCAAGTGTAGAGGAGTGTTCTTCCCTCTCCTTTCCTGGACATCGATCCTCAACTTCCGCCCGACTTGGTCGTTTGTCTCGAAAAATGTCTTCAACGACTCGTCGCTGTCCTCGTCGTCGTCGTCCTCGGCGACGTTGTCTCTGCGACAGATTATGTGCAGACAAGTCTCTCCCTTGGCGTTGGCCAGATTCGGGTTGGCTCCGCGTCTGAGCAGCGTCTCGACGGTCTTCCGCCGGTAATTGCCACCGTAGCAGCCCACGGCCACGTGGAGCGGTGTGTTACCGATCCTCGACCGGGCGTCGATCTTGACGGGACGACGAAGGACGTTGCTGATCTGGAAGAACGTCCTTAACGCGTCGTCGTGCTCGACGTTGGGACTATGGCAGATAAAGTGCAACGGTGTCAGTCCTTTCAGGTTGGCCGGATTCGGGTTGGCTCCGCGTCTCAGCAGCAGCTCGACGGCCTTCCGCCGGTAATTGCCGTCGAAGCAGCCCACGGCCACGTGGAGCGGTGTGTCACCGATCCTCGACCGGGCGTCGATCTGGACGGGACGACGATGGACGTCGTCGGTGATCTCGAAGAACTTCCTTAACGCGTCGTCGTGCTCGACGTCGGGACTCTTGCAGATAAAGTGCAACGGTGTCAGTCCTTCCAGGTTGGCCAGATTCGGGTTGGCTCCGCGCCTCAGCAGCAGCTCGACCAGAGGCCGGTGGCCGTGAGACAGAGCCAGGATCAACGGCGTGTTACCGGAACCGTCGCGGGCGTTGATTCGTACAGCCTGTGACTCCTCGTCGCACCTCGCCAGTAGAATCTCCGCCCAGGAGACGTCGTATTTTGTCTCACTGACGGTGTGCAACGCTGTCGAACCCTTGTCATCGGCCAGATTTGGATCGGCCCCGTTGCTCAGCAGCGCTTCCACTATCCTTTTGCTCATGGAGCGCAGAGCCAAGCGCAAAGGCGATTCCGGCACCAGACACGAATTCGGATCCACCCGACCGATCCCGAGAAATCTCTCCACCACGTCGACGCACCGGAACTTGCAAGCCACTTGTAAATGCGTCAATCCCGCGGTCGTCGACGGCTCTACGTCTACGTAATTCGTATCGGCACGGTCGTAAATTTGGAAGAGCTGTTGAGCGAAGCGTTGGCCATCGT